GGCCCTGCGCCCGCCCCACACCAAATATGCACCCTTCTCCTCCACAATCCCCGACTAGTGGTAGTGATGGGGTTACCATATTTATTGTTTTTCTACTATTTTGAGACAGTTGTACGTATATGTAAGTGATAACATTATATTATAGTGTGTGTGCCTCGATGATAGATATCAATTACACTATATAATAGACGTGCTGCTTTTTACTTTTCAAAAAAAAAACAGGAACGACAAGCAGATTTACGTACAGGTAGTAGTGTAAGCTATTTCTATTTTATGAGTAATCCTTTTTTTTTATAAACTCACTCTTTGTTGCTGTAATGTTATATGGCAGCTTTTTTATTTGTAATATTTAACTTAAAAAGTAATATCTACTTTCTGGTATTAGCTCATGAGTTACGGAGTTAATCTCAAACTACCTGGACAGTAACATTTTGTTTAAAAATCATCTTTTTAGAATAAACTCAAGCTGACACACTTGTCTCCACGTGTCGGTGTTACCATTACAAAAAATTCTCTATTTCTAACTATTTTCATTACAAAATTATCCTTCATATCCACAAATTTATTGTCTATTTTATTCATCTAGGTATTTACTTTTTACACTAAATTTTATACCTAAAGCTAAATGATCCGAAGGATATTGTTCTGACGGTAATCCATTTTCACCAATTTCCTTCTTCGTCGGAAGGGTCAAGTAAGCCAATGGCTGCAAAATATTAGTAGATTTATAAAAAATATAATCAATTGTATGACATTGTTCATCATTTGGTCGAAACTTCCATGTTGTAAACTCAGGTTCATTTCTTCCATTTCCTAATAAAATTTTATATGCACTTGAAAATTTATCATATGTCAAAATTTGATAGAAATCTTCAGATGGTTCACCATTAAAATCACCAGCAATGATAATATTTTTAGAAGTAGAATAGTGTGTATGAAGAAATTTTAAAATCGTTTCAGTCTGTTCCTTTCGTATGTGAGAAAATGACTTTTTAGCTTTAAGATGAATACCAATGAATACGATATTTGTATGAGATGGTAAATGTTCTAAATCGAGACATGGTAATACCTAAAATGAGATTCGAAATTTTTTCAAAAACTTTAGTTTAATTAATCAAAATTAATTAAGAATTCTTTAAAAAAGTAAAACCAACCTGATTTCCTTTTTCACCATTTATTGGCAAATTTATAAACTGTGAATTTACTTCTCTAAAAACATTATTTTTATAACATAACAGTGTGCCATCATCTGACGAATTTTTCTTTGTAAAATAAGAGTTATAACTGTAAGAATAATAAAAAGTTTTGTTAATTCAGTAAAACGAAAAAAATCGTTTTGAGAAATCATTTATTTTAAGGCGCTCCAAATTCAGAGTGACATTTTAGTTTGTGGTTCAAACATACATCATTCGATGTAGAATTTTTCGGTGATCACGAATATTTTACTTTACAAATTTTCAATGCGCGTATTAAGCGGAAAAAATCGAAAAATTGAAAATTGTCGTTTTTTCGAAAACTCAGTTTTTTTAAGCTTTCGCAATATCTCAGCTCCACAAGGCTCTGAAACCATCGAAACGTATTTTTTAGAATGAGCGACAAAAGCTGCAGGTTCAGCAGCCATAAGAAGTATTCACCTCCTCGTCAAACTTTAGATAATATCAATTTCGACCCCCTCCGCTCGCAAACCTATCAACGCCCTCAGTTTAAGAGATAGAACCTTCATTTGTGCCGTTCGAACCGCCTCCAAACGTGGAACAAAGTTACCTGCCGGTTTTTTGAAATTTTTCTTTCTTCCTGAGAAAATTCATTTTTTCTAAATCAGAGGCGACAAAGTCGAAATTCTGCTCATAATTTCTGTCGTTCAATTTTCTCCAACAGAACTCACTCTCTAGGTAGTAACCGGATAGAATAGAGATACACATCAATCCATTCATCTTTTGATCCTGATGGATTCGCGGCACAAAAAATGAAGGTTTTATCTCTTAAA